GTGCCATGTTAATGATAAGGGATAAATTACGGGGTAAGCATGTTGTAGGACAGGAACAATTCTGTATTTAGACTAATAGTCTAATTTAATTATCTCATCGCACCTTTCTTGCAGTTCCACCCATCTTTCCTGCAATACGGTTGATTACAGGATGGCATTATCTTAAATAATTAGGAGTAGGGGGCGGCATATAAATGCAAACATAAATTTGAGGTGGCTTTTTCATGTTTCTTTTTGCTTTCTTGGTTACAATGGACTAAAATGATGGGTCTTCCTGACTTTCAGGGAGTGACAAGTTCAGCTCCTTTGTTTATGATATCCTGAATTGAAGCTAAAGATACCCAGAGGAGCTTTAAGTTAGTGTTACTTGAAAAGCAAACTGCCTTGCAACATGGCAAGCAACATTGTTTTAAGGCTATGTTTCCCTTAAAAAATACTTCATATTCACCTTAGACATTTTGATCTCTGTGAACAAATGTTTAGTCTTAGAATGTTCACAGTCAGAAAGATGGTTCACCAAGTTGGTTGCTCTAGATGGAGAGAATTACACAGTGCTGGTTAATAAGAGAAGCTCCTTGCTATTGGCCAAGATTGAGGGGTAGAGAGATGTGGAAAAGGGATGAATGAAAAAGAAAGAGTAAACTTAGAGACATTTGTGAACTGGGAGAAGGAAGAATATCTGAAGGAAGCATAGTTTCTTATGGAAAAACAAGAAAAAGTGTTGACTATCATAGTATTTAACTGTATACAAATACTGTGGAGTATTGTTGTATGCACCAAGGTGAGGGTGAGTATGATGTAGATTCAGCATGCCAAACTTTGAAATGAATGAAACACTGATTTTTGGAATGGGGCAAGTCAACGGAGACTGAAGAAAATATATTTGCTGTCTATCCTGATCCAAAATTAATCTTTCCTGCTTGCTTTCTAGGCTAATTTTAGAGCTGCTAAATCCCCATTGCAAGAACAATTCCTACTGGCACAACACAATCAGTGATCTGGTTGGATGCTGCCTGGTGTTACATCTTTATTTACATCCCAGCAAAAATGCACCGAATTGTGCCAAATGCATCTTAAGAATGGGAAATTCAATGTAATTTTATACATATAGCTGATGGAAATGCCAACACGGCAGTTGGCTCTATACCAACCACTCTGTTTATACCTTTTCTGTTCACCATTGATCCTTTGTGGTTGTTATTAATTGCATGGAATTCCCTGTAGCTGAAGTGATCTAGACCTGACTTTGTGATAGAAAACCACAACCTCAAGGGGCTTAAGAATGAGAATGCATGATGGTATTCTTTTATTCAAAATAGGCATTGGACCAGACTCATAGGCAAATGGCCTTTATTAAGATTTTGCTATTCACTTGTAAATGGAAGCTTTTGTGCTTCAGCGATTTCAACTTACTAGTCATTTTCCAATAGCACCACTTCTGCAATTCTGTTTTGAAGGATTTAATGATAAACATATGCATCTTTTTAACAAATGAAAGGAAGCACCCGGCCAAGTTAACAAAGACAGGCTTGTAGGTATAAGAAGAGCAGGGCAGATGGACTGCTAGATCAGACAGTAATTATTAATGTCAATATCAGGACATTTTTGTGTTTTCCAGGGAAATGAAGTGTATTAACTTTGTCATGTTATTAAATATATTAAATATTTGCTCTTAATACATACTGGAATTGAGGTTTATAGTTCAGTAGACCCCCTTCCTCAAACAATATGGTACTTTCCAAATTAAAAATCCATTATTTATTTTTGTTGTTCATGGGAATGAAAACAATAATTTTTAAATGCAGCATAGAAGATTTTGGTTCAAATTTGTTTTTGATATAGCTCATGGATTTTGATGGTGTTTTCTCAGAATATCAAAAGCCACTGAGAGTAAATTCCCAGAATATGAAATTTTATGAAATTACAATTCGTTAAATAAGGAATTTTGGGCATTCTGTTATAATTAAGGGAAGCATCTCAGTTGGCACTTTTGTCTATGACTGAATCAAAGTATGTGCTTGTGCAGGCCCACTTTTCACAGAAATGTATCCCCCTCTTATAATCCAGCCTTCCGTTTGGTATGGTCTGCATACAGACTGAACAGGCAGGGAGATAAAATATCCTCTTTGACACCTTTGCCTATAGGAATCCATTGTGTTTCTCCATATTCTGTCCTAACAGTAGTTTCTTGTCCATATACAAGTTACACATAAGGACAATGAAATGCTGAGACACCCCCACTTTTTTCAGGGACTGCCCATACCTTCTTATGATCCACATAGTCAAAAGCTTTGCAGTAGTCTATGAAGCATAGACTGATCATCTTCTGAAACTCTTTAGTGAGCTCCACTAGCCATAAGAACTCAAGCTCCTCTTTTTTTTTTTTTTTAATCCATCCTGAATGTAAGGCATTTCTCACAATGTTCTTAGGGAAATTAGTGCAATGTTCCTACAGTTTCTGCGCTCTTGAATCTCATTTTTGTTGATTAGAATGTATATTGAATCAATGCTATTTCTACAGCATGGAATAGTTCTACTGATGTACCCTGTCTACTTCAGGTGCTTATTCCTTCCAAATACAGTGGTAACTTGGCTCACAAACTTGATCTGTTCCAGGACTCTGGTCGTGACCCAAATTGGTCATGAGCCAAGTTAAATTTCCCCATAAGGTTCAATGTAAATAAGGTTAATCTGTTCTGTAACTTTTTTTTTTAATCAGAAAAATTTGAAGCAAAGTGACAAAGAACAACAAAGATTGCAACTATCCCCCCCCCGAGCACGAGTGCAGCCATCTCCCCCCCACAACACGACTGTGATCGCGCCTGTCATCCCTACCCAAGTGCAATCGTGCTTGTGGCCATAGATGGGCGCAATCGCAGGCATGCTCGGTGGGGGGAGACAGGCGCGATCACAGGCGCACTGGGGGCGAGAGATGAGCGCAATCATCCTGGGGCGTGGGCTGATGGCTGAGATTGCAGTTGCGCTCATGCAGGAAAGACGGGCATGATCATGGTTGCCACCCAATGCAGTGTTCGCGACCTGAGTCAAAATTTTTGTTTGTGATCCAATTTAGTCGTGAACTGAGGCGTTCATGAGCCGAGGTACCACTGTATTTTCAGAGCAGCTTGTACTTCACTTTCCGCTATTGTAGGTTCTTCCTCATAGGATTCTTTTTGGAGGAACCAGTAATCCTTTTGTTCCTTTTATGTAATTGTCCTGTATATTACTTCCACCTTCTCTTTATTTCCTCCTAATCAGGTAGTTTGTGTCCCTTTTGCTCTTTTAGAATTTCCAACCCAGGTTTGAATATCTCTTTGCTTTCTTGGATCTTTTGTTGTTCTCTTCTATTTCTTTGCACTGGCCATTGTAATAGTACATTTTGTCTCTATGTGATAGTCACTGAAAAATTGCATTCAGGATTCTGACCTTATTTCTGTCACCTTTTGCTTCTCACCTGTTCTTAGCAAATGTGAGTTTTTTCTTTCAGTTATTCATCTGAACTTTTGCTTTCTTTTAGTTAAAGGAATCGTCTTTTTGCAGTTTTCCCTAATAACGCCTCTGGTTTCAGTCTGCAGTTCTTCCATCTCAGTTGAATTCAGTAGTGCAAATCTGTTCTTTATGTGGCCTTTAAATTCCTCAGGCATGTTCTTTAAGTTGTATTTTGGTACTATGCTTAGTGATCTTTTTCGGCGTTACTTTGGTTTTCATTATTAATAGTTCATGGTCTCTACTGCAGACTGCTCCTGGTCTTGTTCTGGCAGCAAGAATATACCTTCTGCATAGATGTGTATAATTCAGTTTTTGGTATAAATCAGCCCTTTTTTCTGAGAGAGGTCTATTTGTGTTCCATGATGTGTGTCTAATGTAGTCATTCAACTTAAAAGTGGGATTTGTTCACTGGAAATCATTGTATTGCCCTTTAGAAAATTGGTTGCATCTTAATTTTTATCCTATTGGTCTTGGCAATTTACCTTTGATTTGAATTGACAATTACACCTGTTTGTGGTCAAAATGAATTAATAAACTCAATTGGTTACTCAGTTGGATTAGGAAAAGAAACTTTTCCTAAACTTAGCAAAGAAACTTTACTTGATGGAAGTAGCATGTAAACAGGGACAGATCACAGGCATCCTCATGAACTTTTTTGTATAGATATCAGTAGCAGACCACACAAAGGTCTCTGAGACCACACAGAGTCAAGACACATTGTATAGCACAACCTTCCTATAGAAAATCCTGTGACTGTGGGTGGCAAATGTTCCTTAGCAACATCATGATTCCCTTGAGAAATGTGTATTTTGCCTCATTGTGTGTTATGATGTTGTTCCTGTTCATTCATATGCTACCTAGACGTAGGAAACCAAAACAATTTGCATTATATCTTTCATAGAAATGACTGATACATTTGGAACATTTGCATCTCTCTTAGTGAATTAATATGCCAGAGAACTTCAACACTGCTGTCTCTGCTTGTTCATAGAGGATTTTTTCATTTTAATTATTTCTTCCTCACTTGATCAATGTGGAGCTCCAAGCATGGACCTACAACAACAGAAAGCAGAAGTAGATCAAATAAGTAGATAGGACTGCTGGTTTTGATGCTTTCTTTTGCTGTGCTTTTACCAGGACACAATGCTTCTGTTCCATAATCTGAGTGGCCAGTCTTGCAAATTATTTGGAGAATACATGACCACTCTTTCTGGACTGAATGAGAACATTTGGGGGTAGCTTGCCTTCCTGCCGATGTATTACTTTTTTTTTATGGAAATCTGAGACATGAAATCATGTACATTTTGAAATGCTTTACTGTAAATACAGTCCTTTGTGTTGATCTCCAGCCAAATTGTGTTTAAAATGAAGGACATGTATTTGATCTTCTGATATGTTTGTCCCCTCAGTTCTTTGACTTTTGTATGTTGATTGCTTAGAAGATCAGAAGAAAGTAGTCACCTACTATTTTTGTTAATGTAGTTCTACTTCTTTATCTGTTCACTCAACAGAAAGGAGAGCCTTACTGCAATGTTCTTTCACTTGAGACTACAGAGCAACTGACCTTCGAGATCCCTCTGAATGACTCGGGTTCAGCTGGACTTGGTGTGAGCTTAAAGGGCAACAAATCTCGAGAGAGCGGGGCTGATCTTGGGATTTTCATCAAATCGATCATCCATGGAGGTGCAGCTTATAAGGTGTAGAAAAATGGATTTTTATTTATAACATTTTAGCCAAAGCATTATTTTGTATATATATAAACCTCCTCCCAGTTTTGTTTACTCTGTGTGTACTTAAGAACAGAGCAGTGGGTAGAGAAAAGGGCTATGTAAAGCAATGCACTAGGAAAACCCACAAACCAGCCTTGATTCAGTCATGCATTATGGCTTTCCACTAGCAGCCATTTCCAGTGTGGTTTGCTCATGTGAACTATGGTCTTTGGATTTTATGGGGAAGAGAGAGAGAACAATCAGTTTTGCTGGCTGATGCAATTCAGTCATGTTTAGGAATTGCTCCAAGAGATCCATTAGGGAGAAAAGTTGTAAGTGTGCATATGGATTTAGTATCATTGCCATTCTCAAGTTTATTCACATTTGCTTTTCTGGCCTGGTGGCAAATGCCAGGAACCTTCCTTGAGGAAACGGCAGGCTCGCCTTGCAATATTGCAACTCCATTATTTTAGCCAGTGCTTTTTTTGTAAAAAAAAAAAAAAAAAGGTGCTGGAACTCACCTCGCCCCTGGCAGTAAGCACACACCCCAATCCCAGAAGAGAAGAGAAGCTATCTTGCACTATCAGATAGCAGACACAATAGCAGCCTGCAGGCACTATGTTAATGATGTTTGCTGCTGATCTGCTATTCCAAAATCACTTCGTAAAATCCATTGAAAAAAAGGTGCCAGAACGCCATTCGTTCCGGTGCCTTCTATGACAAAAAAAGCCCTGATTTTAGCTATAGGTATAAAACGGGATTCAGAGAATACAATAACCCCTACTTGAACACATTTTGTTCAGCATAATCTACACTAATTGTCATTTCCTAGCCCTTCTTGGAGGTTTTGGGATTAAACCTCAAAGCTCTTACATGTGAAGTCTGCATGCTCACACTGATCTATTGCCCACTATGGAATGGTGGTAGGTATTCTGTGTCCTTTTAACTGAGATGACATTTTTGTAAAACTAAGCTTTAAAAAAAAATCTAAACAATTTCACCTCTGTTGTTGCATCCCTTTTTTAAAATTTCTTTAAAAAAATCTTTTTGGTCTTACATTATGATTACTTTATTTCTGATCCCTAATTCTGAGAGATGCTAGAAACATAGGAAGCTGCCATATACTGAGCCAGGCCATTGGTCCAGCACTGGGGTAGCTCAGTATTGTCCACACTGACTGGCAGCAGCTCTTCAGGGTTTTGTCAGGACGCTTTCCTTGCCCTAATTGGAGACAGCAGAAAGAGATGACCAAATAATTGAAACCAAGCTATCCCCAGTAGAAATCTGACTGAGCCACTAACCAAAGTTAGTTATACGCACTTTGTGGCACTGAGGCCACCTGAGCCTCCAGCCATGAAGATGACTCAAGAAGGACCCCTGAACTATGAACTTGACTGGGAGGATTGTAACTCCATTCAGAACAGGTTGAATAACCTGCATTTGGACCGAGGACCCACCCACCAATCACATCTCAGTCTTGTCTGGATTTTCAGTGTGTTAGCCCTAATCCAGTCTATTATTATGTTCAGGTGTTGATTTAACAGTCTCACCTGCTGAAGATGAAAGGAGAAATAAAGCAGCATGTTATCAGCATACTGATAACAGTGCAGTCCAAAACTCTGCATGACTCTACTCCATGGTTTATGCAGATGTTGAATAGCTCGGGGATAGATCCAACCCCTGAGGAAGTCCATACTGGAGAGTCAAAGGGGTCAAGCAGTATCCCCCAGACACAACCTTCTGGAGTCTGACCATCGAAGGAGGAGTGGAATCACTGCAGGGCAGTACCCTCAGCTCCCAACTTATCCAGCTGCCCCAGGAGAATACCATAGCTGATAGTATCAAAAGCCACTGAGCAATCCAGGAATATCAACAAGGTCACACTCCACCTGTTTCCTCCCAACACAGGTTATCACACAGGGAAGCAAAGCTGCTTCCCTACAAAACCTAATCTGAATTTTGATGGAAATGGATCTAGAAATTAATCAGTCTTATCCAAGAGCACCAGTTCAAGAGCCTTGTGCAGTAAAGGGATATTTGCCTCTGTGCAGAATTTTTGAGATGCTCTAGGCCCAGAGAGGATATCTTCAGGAGCAAAGCATGCGCTCTACCACTGATTCTTCTCATTGCAACATTTACAATTTGGTTGTATAAGATTTGGTTTTAAAGGAATGTGCAGAGTATTACTATTTCCATTTTCATGGAACTCACTTGTAGTGTATGGCAAGTATTTTTTAAAAAACTGCAGTCCTTTAAAATGTTCACATTTTTAGAATGGCTTCCTTGAATGTTTATGTTTCAATTAAGGGATTCTCATTCTGCTCCATGCGGCAAACTCAACCTGGTCTTAACTGCTAAGCTGCCAGGGTGCCTCCGTAACAACAGCGTGCTGCCATTTAGCATTCTCTCTGCATTACTTCATGTTGTCCCCAGGGGCAACACAGCTGGACCCATGAAGAGACACATTTCTAGGTTGTATGAAGGAATAAACATTCACCAAGCCCATGAGCTGTGTGGATATGTGTTCAGTTTGCACAAGAAATTAAAAACAGCTTGGCCATATTTTATTGAATAATTAAAATAGCATTATGGACACAAGTGTGTGATTTGGCTGGAGTTGCATCAGTTGTATAGAACTTAATTATTTCTGAGCTAAACAAATCAATGCAAGGAAAAGCTTCTGGGTTTTTCCATCATGTTGCAATGCAGTTAATATGCTAGGCTTTGTTTTAATGTATAAGATGATTTGGGTAGATGTACAGATCCAAAAATTCATAAATCCTTTATTGATTTAATATTATATTCACTTCTTCCTAAATTAATGTGATTTTTAAATTTTTTTTGTCAATTCCTAAAGATCCTTTTTCCATACAGAAACACTATTTCATCAGTTTATATACATTTATGTGCTGGCACTTTTCTGAGCAAGACAATTTGCAATATGGCTATTACATCCATTATGGGATATATATTAATCAAGTAATTGACCTACATGGTGAACATTCTGTACTCATTTGCCTTTATTTCCTTTTCTAATATGGCATGAAGGGTCTTAAAGACCCAAGTCTTTTTGTTTATATAGAAATGCAACTACTGAGTTTTAAGCACACTCATTTAAATTGTAAGCATTATGGTTTGTACTTTGGTTACTCTCTGTCCAATGACAAATTAAAAATTTGATTTGGCCCTTGCAGCTACCAATTCAGCACTGTAGGTAAATATGCTTTGCCTACTGCTACAATGTATGCATACACTACTGGGCTTGTATTGGAGATGCAAATCCTTGCTTATTTGGTTGGCTGTTGTCATGTAGATTCTGTGTAGGAAGTCAGCAACCCAGTGCCCACAGCAACCATAGTGCCTGCCAGGACCCCCTGTTGGTCCCTTCATTGTGCTCCCCCTACTGCTGCTGCTGCATTTGCCTCTTCTTCCTGCCACATTCAGCATCTAGAAAGCAGAAATTAGGAGACTGTGAGCCTTTTTTCCATGTTTGCCGATTTCCTGCTTATTCACTGCTGAAGTGAATGCAAAACAAGGCAGAAGCATTAGTGCAGGGAATTGGAAGGGAAATATGGAGTTGAGAAGCAAGGTAGTGGAGGAAAGAAACCCCAAGCAGGAGGGAAGAGGAGAAAGGGGGAGGATTAGGAATATCAGAAAGGAGTTCAAAAAAAAATGGGAATCTGGGGCAGGGGGATGGGTAAAGAAGAGTAGAGATCCCTGAAAGAGGGAGGAGTCAAGAAAAATTGGAGTTTGAGAACAATCATTCCCAAAATAAGTGTGCTTGAGCCCAAGTGACCATGGGACAAACAAGCCCTCTAGATCCAAAAAGGTTGCTTATACCTGTGCAATGCACATTAGGTTCTAGTATGATTAAGGAGGTGTTTTTTGGAAGGAACACTGAAGCTCAATTTTCACATGCAGCACATATGAATTTATATAGCTTTATATTCCTTACAGATATTCCTTATAAACATGATTTATCTTGTCTAGAGCACCTGATCTTTGGCAAATTAAAAATAAATGGACTATATCCTAAAAGGAAGATTCCTTTTGCAGAAAACAGCAAAGGTGTTAGTGATGAACTTCACACAAGTAGAGTTGGGCTTGAGCACACTTCTTACTCCAGCCTAGTCTATCTGCAGTGTCCACATTTGAAGATCTCGTATTTCTCTGACCATAGGGTCTGATCTCCCCTAACTCTCAAACCAAAAAGAGAACTATCTGCCCCCAATTGAGGAATGTGAATGTGGTAAGAGAGGGGCACAAAAGAAAGATGCAAACTGAGTGCTTCGTGCACAGATTTGATTGGTGCCCCACCTTACCACTTCGAAAATGGCCCTCAATGTGCCAGTGTGCTAATGTTCAACCTTATTTATTCTAAATTATAATGAATAAATGATTTTATTAATGTGTTGACATAGATGTGTTTGTGTGCATTGTGTGTTTATTCCATGCTAGTTGGGGAATGCTGGGACTTCCAGGTCTTATTTTCTGTCTAAAGTCTATAGGATTGTGCCTTTAGAAGGCTGTTCTGTATATGTCTGCTCAGAAGTAATACTGTAGGTTTCAATGGGACTTACTCCCAGGAAATTGAATATAGGTTAGTGCTGTTAGCATTATTCGTTTATAAATTTCATGCCCTTTTTAATTTTTCTTGTTGCTATTGATCTTATGTGTGTGTTCCTTTAAGTAACTTCTGCTTCTTCCTAGAGCTATAAGCGTTGTTGGCACAACTATCTGCACTGAATTTAAGTGGCCTGAAGTTATGCCATGAAAATATAAAATATAAAATCATTATTTTTATAAGGATAGTCTTTTTATAGATAGCTTGTGAGAACCAAGAGAAGAGGCGGTGAGCATGAAGCTGGACTAATAAATGAGTTTCAGAAATGCCTTGGGACAGTATCTAGGAAAGAGGTTAATGCTAAAGCAAATTCAATTTTTTCCACTGTAATATTGGACTAGAAATACTGTTCTTAGTTATAAAG